GCTGAGTGCCGCAGTAAATAAAAATGATCTCTTACTCTTTGAGACAGCATGGACGGACCTGGAGAGTGTGATGCTACTAAGTGAAATAAGCCAGTCAGAGAAAGACAAGTATCACATAGTCTCACTCATATGTGGAATGTAATGATCAAAATAAACCTATGAACAAAATAGATCTGAGACATAGAAGCATAGAACAGAATGGGGAGTCTCAGAGGGAAAGCAAGGAAGGGTTGGTGGGTGGGAAGTGATGGGGTTAGTGGGGGAAATAAGGGAACATATGTAATACTTTCAACAAATATTTTTTTAAAAAGAATTCATGCCCTTTGTTCTTTGTTACAATGCTATATTACTTGGCCCTGTACGTTACTAGTAAGGTTCGATTGTTAGTGATATCATGGCCTAAACATTTTGTTAGGTGGGATAGGAGTGGATTTAGATAAAAAATAGTGAGGCAGGTTGCTCTTTCCATGACATATTTAGTGTGTTAAGATCCTTTGTTTTGCTATTCGTCCATAAAACATTTGTGGAGAAACTTCACTGTGCCATTTCCTTACTAGGCTGGGGCACAGTTGGTTCTTTTGAGGATTTAATAGTCTAGGTCTAGGTCTGCGTTATTTTTACTCATGTGGCCTCTCAAGTATTTACAATTTCTCATACCACTTTGACTAGACTAACAAACTGGACATGACTGGCAATATGGTAAATTTATGGTTTATGAAGGAAAGTTAGTACATAACTAATCAGCAGACCAACACTCAGAAAGTCTTGGTATAATACCCAATGATTAGACAAAAAGTTTACATTATATATTAAGTTAAAAACTTTAAGTTAAAATAAATTATTTTAAGGAGGTACTTATTCTTTTCTGAAAATAATTTGTACAGTCTGTTTTTTGTGGGACAGGGAGCTGAAAAATGACTTTCCTAGGTGGCACTGGTGATGAGGACTGACTGCTTCAGTATTCAAACTCTTCATAGACTTAGTGATAGCAGAGATACTTAACCGGAGTCCTGGGTTTTATTTTCATCTCATACCATAGCCTTTCTCTTCCTTTTTTCACTTCTATAAAGGTGGTTCTTGCAGAGATATTTATAATAGGGAAAGAGGCAGTGAGATCCTTGTGCTAAAGCAGACAGGAATTTTCAGGGGACAGGAAAGAGAGAGTATTAAACACTACAGCTAACCCCGAAGACACTCAACTGATTCTAATATTGTTTTATATATTCCATTTTTGTCAGTACATGCGGAGTTCTCAGGGTTTGGTCAAGAATTTGTGTCAAATCAGTAAATAGTGGTTGACTTCTGATGAGAGTAGGATCCCTTTCAAATTTCTATAAAGAAAATAGAAATGTCACTTGTTAGGTTACAATATGCCCAGAGATTGTGTTATAAGTGTCATTTCCTAGAGAAGAAAGAGTGAAGGTGTAACGTTCTGTCTTTGTGTATTAGAATGAAATCTTCATTGAAATCTAGGTGCTGCGGCACACAGAGTATCCCTAGCATCTAGAATCATGGCCTCCATGTGGTGAGCAATCAGCATTTGCTGAAAGAATGTATGACTGAAATACCTCTAGAATAAGAATGATATTTCATTCATCCTCTGTAGTAGGATGGAAATGTTCCTTAGATAAAGCCCCTTGTGAGCGCACCTACCAACCTTTTACTTCAGGGCTGGACCACTGGAAGGTCCTCTAAGCCAGTGGTGGTTGTGTTGGGGTCGGGGGCGGGGGGGGCGGAATGTCTGGCCCACAGGCCTTAATAAGACCTGCAAAATCATTTGGTCTGGCCCTGCCAAGACATTAGGGGTGAGTTAATTAAATGTTTGACCAATTATAGCAGGCTATTTTTTTTGTAATCATATATGAGCATTTATTCCAATACTGTCAGCAGTATGGGAGAGCAGGCTAATTTTTAAGTTGATAATTGTGTCGGGCCCATGAATTATGTCATAAATATCTAAATGGCCCTAGACCAGTGGTTCTCAACCTTCCTAATGCCGCAACCCTTTAATACAGTTCCTCATGTTGTGGTGACCCCCAATTTCATTGTTACAAATTGAACATAATTAAAGCATAGTGATTAATAACAAAAACAATATGTAATTATATATGTGTTTTCTGATGATCTTAGGTGACCCCTGTGAAAGACTCGTTCGACCCCCAAAGGGGTCGCGACCCACAGGTTGAGAACCGCTGCCCTAGGCAGGAAAAACCTCTTAGCAGAGATTCCCCACCCCTGCTCTAAGCAATAGGTGAGTCCTGCTTTCCAGTCAGGTATCTCTCTGCCACAATAAAAGAAAAGTTGGCACTTTTCAAGTCTGCCTGTGTGAACCATTCCTATAGTCCAATGACATGATAAAATAAGCATGTGATCCTGGAACATTGAAAATTAGATTCTTCTTCCAAGTGACCACACCAATGTGTATACAGTTGACCCTTGAACAACACAGGGATTAGGGGCACCAAATCCTTTGTAGTTGAAAATCCAGGTATATCTTTTGAACCCCCCAAAATTTAACTATTATATGCCTACTGTTGACTAGAAGCATTGCCATTAATATTAACGGTCAAGTAACGCATATTTTGTATGGATTATATACAGTATTCTTGAAACAAAGTAAGCTAAAGTAGAGGAAATTTTATTAAGAAAATCATAATGGGGTAGAACCAAGATGGTGGCATAGGTAAACACTGGTACTCCTTGCCTCCCACAACTGCATCAAAATTACAACTAAAATGCAGAACAACTGTCACTCAGAACCACCTGAAATCTGGCTGAATGGAAGCCCTACAACTACAGAAGTAAAGAAGAAAGTACATCGTGACTGGTAGGGAGTGGCGGAGTCATAGAACGGGCTGGTTCGACACCCACGTATGGCGTTTTTTTAATCAGGAGGGATATCCTGGTTGTAGAATCCTCCTTTGAGAAGCAAGGGGTTCCAGCCCCACATGAGACCCCCAGACCAGGGTTCCAGAGCTGAGAAGAGAAGTCCCCGTAACTTTGGGCTGTAAAAACCAGGGGGGTTGTGGCTGAGAGACACAGAGGCTGCTGGAGACCCAGGCAATTCCTCTTAAAGAACTTATATGAACTTGCTCCCTCTGAGCACCAGAGCTGTGCAACAGCTTTGGGGGTTCCAGGGGTATATGTGGAGGAACTGGATTGTCTGGCATTGGGGCAGGAACTCGAGCTTGGCTTTCTCCCAGATGGGGGTGCTTGCAGGGCTCATTGTTCCTGAGTTGGGACCTCCTCTGTCATAGAGCTGACTAGCAGCCATATCTGAGTTTTCTTCAGCCTGACTCTCAGTGTTCGCTCTGTCCTGGTGATTCCCTGGAACCCTGACCCTTCCAACTTGAATCCACACCCAAGCTCTTTGCAGTAGCTTTTCCGTATGAATGGCCTGTCATGGTTCAGGCTTCAGACTTTGCTAAAATCTCTAAAATAAGCAGCAGCTGGTGTCAGTGTGCCCCATACCTATGAATAAGAATCCCAAGACCTGACACTAACTAGCCTTCCTTGCTTCACAGCTTGGCCTCACCTGGGCACTTCCAAGCCCAATACAAGTAGCAGTCATCTGGAGATTATTCAGTAGCTCCTGTCGGGTGGTCCCAGGCAGTGGTTGACTTTGCATCTCCTGGGGAAAATTTTTATTTTTTCTTCTAAATGTTCTTTTCTGGTGGACATCTTCAAACCATACCAGGTTACAACTCTACACATCCACAAGTGACATACTTAATGGGTAGAGTCAGTGACCTCCAAAGTCCCACTGAAGCAAGTCCTGCTTCATAATGATATCTTCTGCAAAGCAGCTCTTCCACTGTAGTTGCACCTCATCCTCACAACCAAATGGTCTGGAGGTCAATTCCTTCCAGTGACACCGACAGCACTCATGGCTCAACTGCATCAAGACTGTGCACACAGACCACATAGGGGTGCACCTAGAATGCCCAGCTCAGGTGACTGGGGAGGCTGAGCCTCTGGGCCCTACAGGACACCTTGTACATATGGCCACTCTACCAATTTCAGGAGACATAGCAGCTCTACCCAGTACATGCCAATGTTTGACCCAGGTTGCTGGCTTGAAGCCCAGTAGGGGGCGTGCAAGCAGCAGCTGATCAATAATTCTCTCTCATTGATGTTTCCATCTCTCTCTCTCCCTCTCCCTTCCTCTCTGAAATCAATAAAAATATATTTTTTAAAAATATATTTCTGGACTAAATGGATTGCATGAGATTGGTTGAATATGCTGACAGTGTGGATATGTCCCATTTCCCCTGTGTACAATTTAAATTTATAATGTTTAAAGTATTTTAAATAATGGAGTTGACTAGTCATAGACCACAATAAGTAACATGAACTCAAATGTTTGCTATGCATAGGATAGATGTTTTTGTAGCTTATCATTCCTTTAAAAGGAAAATAAATATCTTATTAGATAATTAAAGGGTTAATTTATCCCAATAACAACAAAGATAAAAAGCTTTTTACCTGTATAAGTATATGTAGAAATAGCTACTAACTGTGTATCTTTGCACACTTGCAATTGCAAACAAAAATGGGTTCATGAATATTATTGTAATAATTAACTATTGCTTTTAGAGGCAATTTTGACATGCACTTACAAGTATTTGAAATGTTTGTACTGGGTGAATACCTTAAGCATGTTCTTTGCTATCTCCTCATCACAGGTATATTTTTCTGGAAATAATCATCACTGATAAAATTTCCGATTTGGATCCCAGAATCAACATGAGCAAATGTATTACAATAAACACCAATTACAGTTCTCAAACAAAAAGCGAGAAAATGGGGACAGTCCAGTGTTACTTGGCATTGTTGCTGCCCAATTCTGACATCTCCTATTCCGTCCTCATGCAACATGCACACACACTCAGGTTCTCCCCGGAAGAGCTGTTTCCCACGCACACACACTCAGGTTCCATGGAGTTACTCTTGCCCACGGACACACACTCAGGTTCTCCATAGAGACGCTGTTTCCTTACCTGCCTCTAGAGCTTCCTCTGCAAGTGGGCAGCTCTCATTTCAGAATGTCTCACTGTGGGCTTCCAATTAAGACTGTTACACACAGAGTTCTTGTTTGTCTTCAAGAGCAGATGAAAACCAGGAACTTGTCAGAAACCACGAGATAATAGGTTGAGTGTCACCACTGACTTGGCCAATTATAGCTTACTCTCCGCTGGACATGGAAACAAGAAGGAAAAGAGATGTTAGGGTCCCTGTGGTGTCAGGCAGCCTCTGTGCTAGTTTCTTCCCTCAGTGATCCAGTTCCTTCCTGACATTTTCTACTACTTTTTTCACCTCTTTGCATCATCTGGCAAGTAAACTACCAGGCAACCATTTAAATATGTTTTCCTTTTAAACTTTGCATTGCCAAATTCATGCGGTAGGAGATGGAGCACTGATGGTGAGAACTGAGGGAGATGAGGTGTGGTTCTCTCAGAAACACCCTCCTAGAGGAAACCATCAACAGTCATACAACCTAGCATGTCCACAAATGGGTGGTAATCGGGGTTACCTGGAAATGTGAAATTAGTGTTTGGGTAAAGAAACATTTTGACACCAGTGACCACATCTGTTAGATAAAAGGTGCTGCTGTTGTTTTTCTTCCACATTAATTTGAGCATTTCTGACAAATAGATCATGAGTAGGACTTCAGATAGACTCATCATGTGTTAATCTTGCTAAATTTGTGCTGCTGATGTTATTGTTTTGAAGTGAGAAGCAGGACACCTTCACATTATTAGTTCCTTTCAAGTCCTGTGATAGAACTGTGATACCCTGCAGAGCGTGCCCTGTCTTTTCCATGGAATAATTGAATTTTGGCTTAAAAGGCCAAATCAGTGTGTGTGACTCAGAGCCAGATAAGAACCAGGTAAGAAAAAAAGCAGACTGCTCTGAGAAGCTCTTCATGAGGTTCCTGTACTTCAGGTGTGTTCCCTCAGATTGTTCCTTTGCCAAATCCTGGGCTAACAGTGAACTTGTATAGTTCCCATTCAATTTAAAAACATAATATACACAATTACAGTTATAATAATCAAAAGTATTTATTCTCTGCTTATGAGATTGCCGCTGGTGTTCTAGATCCTTGTGTGTACCTTCTGTGGTAGGCAGTGTTCCAGACCCTGGAGGTGTAGGTGCAACTAAATCTGACCCAGTCTCTTCCCTTAGGAAGAGCATTTTCTTATGTTATGTCTCACATACAAACCTAATAGTCACTGTCGATCCATTGAACAGACTCAGCAGAGGCCCCGAGGGACCCATAGCTGATTTAGGGAGGTTCCCTACTTGTCTTTGCTGGAGGGCCCATATGGTCCACACTGCTGCTTTGACTAAAGGTGTTGGGAACACTGGTGTGCATTCTGAGGCTTGCTGGTTTCAGCTGCAGTGAGATCTGGCAGGTAGACAGACACATGGAAGAACAAGCATCAGGGCCTGGTTATTGCCAGGACACACTGCAGAGTCCTTCAGATGTAAACATTGCTGATTAAATGGAGGATTTGGCAGTGCCAGTTGCAGCTCTCAAGGCTTGCATGATTTATAGTAGGAGACGCTATTTATTCTGATGGTCTCAGAAACACCCAGTAGTCATCCCCACGCTCGCCGGTGCTTCTTGCCTTCTCCATGGGGCACTCCCTGCCTGCTACTGAGTATGGGGAGGGAGTTACCATTTCTTCACTGGAGCTGTTGTTTTCCACTTGGGAGTAGGACAGTGATAGCGAACCTTTTGAGCTCGGCGTGTCAGCATTTTGAAAAACCCTAACTTAACTCTGGTGCCGTGTCACATATAGAAATTTTTGGATATTTGCAACCATAGTAAAACAAAGACTTATATTTTTGATATTTATTTTATATATTTAAATGCCATTTAACAAAGAAAAATCAACCAAAATAATGAGTTCACGTGTCACCTCTGACATGCGTGTCATAGGTTCACCATCACTGGAGTAGGAGTTGCAAAATCCAGGCCAAAAGGATAGTCCTAAAGGTGGTCACCTGATGGCAGGTGGTCCAGACAGGTGAAGTAGGCCCTGGGTCAGGCCTTCAGGGGATGAGGAATTGTGGAGAAATAGAGAGCACATGGCCCACTCGGGTATCGGCTGCCACTCAGCGAGAGCTTTTCAGCATCCAGTGTTCCCTCCTCTGTGGCCGATCCACATCCGAGTGTAATCAGAACCTGCATGCTGCATGGGTTTGGTCGTTGTAAATATGCTTTAACTCATCGAGTTTGCACAACAACTGCATGAGCTGGGTGGGTTTCACTACTATCTCCTCCCCCACATTTTTATTACTAGTTGAGGAAACTGAGGTGCAGAGATGTGAGGTTAGGCCCCCCAGCCCCTGGAGCTGGGATTCAGACCTTGGCCGAACAGCTCCTGGGGAAGTGCTCTGATTTTGCATGTGGGTCTCTAAATCAGAGACTTTTCAAATTCATGAACTCCCAAAGGTTTGTAGGCCAAAACAAAACCTGACGGAGCCCTGCATCTTGCCCCGTGGCCTCTGGATGGTCCCCTTGTCTTGTGCTCCCCTGAGGACTCCGGAGCAGTTCTCTGACTCTTTCAGGTCATTGTTTATGTGCCTGACTGGCCATCAGCATCACCTGGGAAGCTTTAAAAATGCACAAACACCCTACTTCAAATGAACTGAACCAGTCCTTGTGTTTTTGGCTCAGGAATCTATGTTTTCAAAAGAGTCTAGATAATGCAGAAATGTGGCCAGGTGTGAACACCCTGCCTTCCTGTTTTGGAACCTTTGATCTTATAACAAACACGTGGAGGAACTTTTATCTTCTACGTAAATGCCCTACTACCCAGCTTGTTTTATTCAGCTCACTGCTACTGCCATAGCTTCAGATAGCCATGGACCCTGTGCTGTAAGACAGGAACTTTGATGATTAGAGTATTAGCAGGGTAGTACGAATGAGAACAGAGGTTCATAGAGAGACCTAGAGAGAGTAAGGCTAGAGCAGCTACAGATTAGATGAGACCCAAGGAGGAAGGAAGAATATCAAAGGAAGAATATGCAACAAAAACAATGATGCCTGATTTCCTCTGAGGCATTTAGATTTACATTTCTGACTATCTTCTTCTTTTTTTTTTTTTAAATATATTTTATTGATTTTTTACAGAGAGGAAGGGAGAGAGATAGAGAGTTAGAAACATCGATCAGCTGCCTCTTGCACATCTACTGGGGTTGTGCCCGCAACCCAGGTACATGCCCTTGACCAGAATCGAACCTGGGACCTTCCAGTCCGCAGGCCGACGCTCTATCCACTGAGCCAAACCGGTTTCGGCTCTGACTATCTTCTTTTATGGTTTTTGTCCCCACTTGATGTCAGTGAATGATATAAATCGGTTTTCACAATGTCTGCTGTTAATCCCTCTTAGCAGGAAAGTCTCAGGGGTGGAATCTTCCTTTTTTTATGTACCTCACTCTGTCACCTGGATTTTGAGAACTGGTCCCTGCTGTCCCACTCTGTGGGACATGGGTAGACTTATTTGTGAATGACTCACATATTTCAGTGCAGGATTTAAAATCTGCCTGCCACCCTTTCATACTTCCTCAGGGTTTATGCTGGGCATTTTGTAGATATGCTAAAATACGAAATTAGCTTGTACACATTTTTTCTCTATTTGAATTAGAAATAAGTATCTTATTAATGTTTGTAAAAATATTTTACACTGCTTATTGGTATTTTCATGTATTTTTAAAATTAGATGCTTCCTTTAACAACACAACTCAGCTTTATTGAACAATAAATAATAAAGTAATGACAGTAATTCTAAAGTAACAAAAAGGAAAGAGCTGAAATAATCAGTGTTTTCTTTTTTCTGTGATGTTTTGATTTATGCTAAGTAGTTTTATGCTTCCTCGACTGCATCCTGTATTGTTTTGTGGAACCCTTGGACTAAAGCACTGTGGCATGTCAACACGATTCATCTTCCTGAAAACCGTCTACTACCCCTGATGTGACTGCCACCCAGCCCACCACACGTGCTCACAGACACGCATTTCCTTTCTCCAGAACTGCTTGCAGGCCAGACGCCTCCTTGTCAGGAATAAAGCTGGTTATATATAAACATCCCTTGTGTATTTGGACTACAAATAGAGTGAGTTTAGCACACGTAATCCCCAAATATGTCTGCTGTTGTTTCCAATCTGTTTCCGTCCAGCCTGTCATCAGCTGCCCTTACAGCGGCTCTCTTCCCTCCTGGTGTTCTGTGAATGGTTCGTTTTGTTCCTTACCCCCAATCATTTTTAAGTGAGTACCAAACCAACCGTATTGTCATTGCCTTGTTACAGATTTCCTCCTTTGTTTTATTGGACAGTAAGACACACAAGCGCACTTTGCTTTGCCCCCACTTGCTGTCTCAGACTTATCCATGTTAGCCCTGTACCTTGTTAGTTAGTTTTTCATGACTTTGTGGTTATTTAATCAGCCCCTATTGATGGGCATTTTGATAGGTTTGAATATTTTCTTTTTCTTACTGAATTTATTGGGGTGACAATTATATAGGTTTCAGGTGTACAATTCTATAATACATCATCTGTATATTGTATTTCAAAGAGTTTATTTTAACCATAGGATCTATTTACTGGGTCATGCCATGAAAAAAAAAGAACGTTTTAAAAAAGGTTTTGCCAGCAAGTTATGTGTGTGTGTGTGTGTGTGTGTGTGTGTGTGTGTGTGTGTATAGCTGTAGGCAGGACCACTGGACATTGGGAAACATATTGGAATAAAAAAAAAACACAGAGGATTTTAATATAAGGCCCAATATAAACATTTTATGAAAGTACCGAGATACTTAAAGGAAGTGAGTTGGCCAGTTGCCCTCTAACAGGATCTGTGAAGGTGCTGGTATCCGAAGTGGTTCTCACTGTGTGGCTCTTTTATTTCTAGAATGGGTTGAAAGTCAATCTGGGATTAAAAGAATGGTGTGAACAAAGGCATGATGGGAGGAAAGTCAGCAGAGATGGGTGATCGGTTGAATGTGGAGATCCCAGGTACCATGAGGGACAGCTCCTAATTCAGTGTGTGGTTTTAGCTTGTAGTAAAATAATTGCAAGTGTGCTTTATAAGGTGTATTCTGGCAGGAACACATTGAATGCAGATGTTTCTTTGTGGACTGATTTGGTAGTGGAGGTGGTGGCAGGAATTATGTCATTAAAACATAATTA